GCGAGAAGCCCAGGCGTGCCTCTGCATTGGCAGAGAGGTCGGTCGCTGCGGTGCGCGGTCGGACTCGCCTGGTCGGTTTCGCCCGCAGTTGATCTCGCCTGGTCGGTTTCGCCCAGGCGAGGTTGTTTTTCGGGGGCGGCAAAGAGGGGGGTGATGACAAAGGGGGGGTGGATATCATGGCGGGGGCCATGATATTTCCCCAGATTTCATGGCGCCCCTTCTCGCTTCGTTACGTCCCTGGGCCCCCCGCTGTGCCGCGCACATGCCGCTGGCCCTGATTTGCACCCCCCCCTCTTGGACACCCCCCTCTTTGCCGACCCCGAGTTTTGACCCGTTCGGTTTCGCCCTTGGTCGGTTTCGCCCTTGTCGGGCTCGCCGTCGTCGTTCGTCGCCGTGGTCGCCTCTGTTCGTTTGTCGTCGCGGGCGACTTTGCTGTCGCCCATTCGTCGTCCGAGTCGTGTCGTCGTCGTCATGGTCGTCGTCCTCGTCGCCGTCGTCGTCGTCGTCGTCGTCGTCGTCGTCGTCGTCGTCGTCGTCGTCGTCGTCGTTGGTCGTCGTTGGTCGTCGTCGTTGGTCGTCGTGGTCGTCCTTCGTCGTCGTGGTCGTTGTTCTTGCCACCCGCCCATCAGTGCCCGCAGGTTCGTCCGCTGGCAAGCCCGCCCGCTGTGATGCTTCGCACACTCGACTCGCCCATCCGGGCTGCCCGCCCGGCCCGCCCGTCAGGGTCCGCCCACCCGAATCGCCCGCCCATTAGTGCAGCGCTCGTCCGCCCATCAGGGTTCTCCCGTTCGTCCCGCCCGACTGGGTCCGCTCGCCCGATCCGCTGGCTTGGGCCCGCAGGTTCGTCAGCTGGCAAGCCCGCACGCCCGCTTTGACATGCCGCCCGCCCGACCTGCTCGCCAGTCAAGGTCCGCCCGCCCCATCCGACCGCCCACCGACGCTGGCGAAGGTGGCGACCACGACAGGGACGAACGCCGCCAGCGCAGCCCACATCAGGCAGAGTCAGCCGCCGGCGAGACCGACCGCTGGCGAAGCCGACAGTCGGCGAAACTGACCGCCAGCGAAACCGACCCTGGCGAAGCCGAACTGGCCGAACCGACCGCTGGCGAAGTCGACCGCCGGCGAAACCGCCTGCCGGCGAAACCGACTCGAGAGGGCTGTCACGAGGGCAGATTCACTTCCTCGCAGAAGGGGTTTCTTGCTCCCCGCTCCCCGTAGGGGATGACAGTGGGCCTCCTTTGAGGCGGGGGCCCGTGAGCCCTCCTGACTCCGCAGCCCTCAGAGAAGTTAGCTCGCTCCTCTCATGGGGACTTCCCTGCGGCTTCAATGGCATACCGTGGCTCTGGGGGCGCGCACTCGAACGGTTGGTCATCCTGCTTTTCCTGCTTTGCACCCTGTCCTTGCCTCTGCCTGAGGGGGTTGCTTTTTGTGGCTGTTGGGCTCAAGGTTGCAACCTCCGCGCCCACTATACATAATCAGACTTGCTTTACATCGCTGTACATTTTCCCTTTTAAGGAAAACAGTATTCCACCTTCTTCACCATCATTTCTAGTTGGTAGCGGGGCAGGTTCGCCCCTGCTCCAATACCACGGCCGCCATGTCCCACTTCGCCTCGATGGCCATGGCTCCCAGCTTCCGTCGCTCTACATCGCGAAGCTTGCAGGAAACGTTACTC